AAGACAAATGAATGTTTTGATGATCACAAATGAAATACAGTTCTAACAGCCCAGGGGTTAAATCTGGTTTCTAAGGGGTTTTCTGTTTAAGGTTTTCAATGTTTCTCAGCCTCAACACATCTATATGCTGTCAGAACTTAAATAGTTTTAATTTATCCATTTATTTTGAATCAGTGTGTCGCAGTAGGGAAATATCTACAGTTAACCATCATAGTTGCATATTGATGAACGTAACATTAAGAAGGTTTTGCTTTGAATATAAAAGAAATTTAAAGACAACTACATCAATTAGTTTGCAGTCATTTCAAATGACTTAATTAAATGTTACTTTTATATAACAGCTTACTTCCAAAACAACCCCAACGAACCCCCAAAAAACACACCAGATGGAATTAAAGCTGTTTGTGTTTATAGGAATTTAGGGTGGAAAAAGGACCAGATTACAGCTCCCTGATGGAGTTCTTTAGTCGTGTGTGAAACCGTCTGTAAGGCACCTTTTTCTTTTCACCCTCAGTCAGCTCCCACTCCAGTCGAGCTTTTTTAGCCTCCCAGTTGGCAGGAAGTTTCTTCCTCTTATCCTCCTCCACAACCTCCTGGTGGTTCAGTTTGCGTGCTTCATTCTGCAGTGAGAAGAGAACAAACACACTAATAACAGGAATATGTTCAAATGACTGGAGTTAATCTAAAACATGCTAGAATTAGGACTACAACAGACGTCTTTCATCTTCTTTCAAACCTTTTGACAACCCAGATTTCCAAGAAGCACAGATTTAAAAACAACATCTATAACAACTGTTTCTCGTGTTTGATTAAAATATAACTTAAATACCTAAATAAACTCACCCGTTTAAAATGCAACTCTCTAAATTTACGAAGTCTCGCTTCTCTCTTTTGGGAGAACGACGTGTCAGCTTGTTCCTCTCCAGAAGCTGTGACATTTTCCTGCAAACGAGAACAATCATCCAAGAGATTAAATCGTCCTTTTTACGGCCAAGACTAGTTTTCAACGGCAAACGATACCAAAACATCGAAGAGTATAAACGTTAGTTAGCACACATGCTAACACCTGTTAGCTTAGCAAAACAACACACGGCCGTAAACCGACTTTAAATACTTCTGAAGAAAGATATTCAGTTTAACTAAAAACGTTTATTTTGTAATTATGCATCCCATGTACATCGCAACGTAGTCATTTAACCGTTTAGTCCTTTAACATAAAAAAAAACATACCTGGCTACACGACGCCATTGTTGTGCTTTGCTGTGGAACGAAACCGGAAGTGGTACCGGATATTACGTCATTTAAAGAGCCGTAAGAGTAGTAGTTATTTCTTTTCATTATTAGTATTATTATAATCAACAGGGACACTGAAGTAGCCTGTATCCTATTTGAAGAAAACGCCTTGGTTTACACA